CACGTCCATTTCCTCACAGCAGTCTCCAAACCACAGCCATGACCAATGTCCAGGAGTGCACCTTTCAGATGGAATTCTGCACCTGAAGATCGGGCGGTGTGTGTGCGGGTGTTGCCTTGGCTTCCTGGCAGGATGTTTGGGGTGAAATACTAATGAGATGTGCAAAGGTCCTGGGGTCCACTGCCTGGTTAGCAGGATCCCAGGTCGTGCGTGTGTGGCTGGACATCCACACGGTGTTTCCTGCAGGCTAAGTTGTTGGGCCCTTCCCTCTGTGTTGAGGAGGAGGTGCAGGATCAGGGACGGGCAGTCCACGCACAGCGACCCAGCCTGGTGTGCTTTGTTGCTGGATGAGTGAACTAGCCCAGTGCTGGAGCTGAGCCCGGGTTGATAGTCGGAGCGAGAGGCTCAGGGCCAGGGCAGGGGTAGGTGCGGCCTGAGAGCAGGTGGAGGGAAGTGTGGCTGTGGGAGTGGGTCGGACGCCACGGCTGAGAGGGACGATGGAGGACGGTGGGGCACAGGGGATAGGATGGGAAGTGGGTTCCGGGCCCGGCTTTCTGCAGTGGGGTTGCTGTCTGGGTTGTGTGCCCTGGGTCAGGCATTGTCCTGGAGGCTGCCTTCCAGCCTCCTCCGGGTTCAGGCCTGATGTGGGCACTCAGTGGCCTCTCTCTGTTCCCAGAAGCCCTTTCGCATTGGCGTCAAGCGTGATTCTGGGGGTGCAGGCAGTGGTCAGTCCCATATGCCACATGTGGATGAACATGGATTCAGGAAGCAAAAGGGGTCATTGGATCTCCCCCAAGATGTGTGCATCGGCTACTGGGCTGGTAGCAAGGCAGGCCTGGGGGACGCCGTGCACAGCAATCACACATGGGGAGGAGGGGCAGGGCAGGGTATGGGGCGGCCGTTCCTCCCACGGGTGCCCAAGAATGCCTGCTAGGTCCAGGCCTGGCTAAGGGGCCCAAAGGGCACTGGGAGGAGCCCCCGAGAGTGGGGATGGCGCCAGCTCCAGCTCCATCCCGGCAGCCTCTGAGCAGTGGGTCTCATGTAAGGCAGCGTGGGGGAGCCCACACCTGGAAAGTCACTGAGGGAGGCACCTGGGATGCGGGATGGGTGTGGGGGTGCCAGCCTCATGGCCTCCCCACACCTTGCCTGCTCAGCCCTGGGCTCCCCAGAAGCGAGATCTCTGACTCTGGACCTCTGGACAGGAGGCCTCTCCCAGGGCTCCCCCAGGAGCAGGCAGGATGTAGCCCAGCCTGCTCTGCCCTCTGCAGCTGCCTGCAGTCTGTGGGGACTCAGCGGCCCCTGCCCAGTAGGCGCGAAACCCACAAGGGGGCAGGGAGATGTTCCCCAGCCAGCTGGGCTCCTGGAGGTCCAGTAGTGAGCGGGGGCCAGGACAGGAGGGCACTGTAGGGCTGTGCAGCATGGTGGGTGCTGCCCTCAGCAGCCCACAGCCTGTGGATAACTTGCCTTTGTGGTGAGTTGGCTGTGGGGTGCTGCTGGCTGCAGGGGTGCCTGGCTGGGAAGAAAAACCCTGCAACACTGACATTACCCACAGCAGCCTGGTGGGGGCACTGCTGAGCTCAGTTTTGCAGGTGGGGAACCGGAGGCACGCACCTTCAGACCTTGGGCTCTGAGGCTGCCTCCGTGACTTTGGTGAATCTGGTCCCCTTTTGGTCCTTTCGGGGTGTATCTGGTCCTATGCCACATTTAGTTCTCCCATGGTGCCCATGGTGGCGCCCCAGAGCCTGTATGGAACTTGGCCATTGAGGAATACCCGTGAATTCCCAGTGAGCAGCAGAGGGGACCGGAGGCTGTGTTTCCAAGGGATGAGTGGGAGCTGAGGTGGGGTGGGGGCATCCTGCTGGCTTCTGGAACAGCCTGGACTTTTCTGCAGGGTTCCAGATGGGCGCCAGTCTCTTGCCACTGAAGGACAGCAGCAGGGACAGGCTGGGCACAGGGGCTGCACGGTGCTGCCTCAAAGGGGGTTGCACTGGATACTGGGGGTGGGTGTCCTCTTGCCATAGAGATTCTGTGCACATGTAGCCTGGGGTACACAGATCATGGGGCAGGCTGCCTGTCAGTGTCACTGCTGGGGACCCCAACCCCCCTCCCACACTGTGGCCAGGGCAGGGCTGGAGGTCTGGAGCCCCTTAAGAGTCTTCTGCCCCCTGCTGCCTGGTGGTAGCAGTTTACCTGAAATGGTGGGCTTGTGTCAGGGTCCCGAGCTGGGGCTCCTGGGGCCAGGTCCTCCTGCTTCCTGGGACACATTGACTGGGCTTTGTCTTCCAGGGACTTCTCAATAAAATCTCCCACCCTGGCCTCCCACCAGGCTTCTGGGGTCATCCCCCGCCCAGGCTGGCCTTGACCAGGCAGCTCAGCGGGCAGCAGGCCCCTGCCCAGTATGGGCCCAGGGCACTGGGTCCTGTTTGTGCCCAGAAGAGCCATCTGGCAGCTCTTGGGTCTGGGCAGACCCTCTGGGGTCCCACATCCTGGGGTCCCAGCCCACTGGTGGGGTCTGCAAGGTGAGGCCCTGAGGACGGGGCTCGGGGTCAGCATGTTGTTCCCACCTCCCTCCCTCGAGAGTGGAGAAACCTCGATGCTCACACAGGAGCTCCATCTGCTAGGCCCCAGGGAGTCTTGGGAGCAGCCTGTCTTTCTAGCCCCTGGTACCACCGGTGTCTGCCTGGGGTCTTCCTGTCAGCAGGGGTACAGGAGTGGCCCCTGGTTGCAGGTGGAGGCTGCAGACTGCACCTACCCCCAGGACACTCACCATGAGCCTGGGACCCCCAGGACACCCTAGGCTGGGAGGGTCCTCTGCACGAGACCGTGCCGATGTCCTCACGTTGTCCGGCCTGTGCTGGTGTGCAGCTAGGAGGCCGACCCGTCTGTGGCACCCGGGGCAGGCCGCCACACTTCTCGTGTGTGGAGTGGAAGTTGAGGGTCTGGGCAAGGCCCTTGCACCTGGAATCCCCGGCTTGTTTTCCCCGATGGGACGCTGTCCCAGGAACCTGCCCATTCTGTCTGCAGGTCCACAGAATACTCCAGGCAGGAGGGCCCTCAGGGGCTGTGTACCTGTCAGCTCCCTGGGAGCAGCCCGGGGTGGGTGCTGGCTCAGGAGTCTGGGCTTCTCAGGCATTGCTTTTCCCACAGGCTTCCAGGCGACCAGGCGTCAGGGAGCTGCTCATTTCACAGATGTGAAAGCTGAGGCCTCTCACGGCCAGGCCCTCCTCTGTTTCCCAAAGCCCCTTCCTCCCTTCATGTTGCCACCTTCTGGGCAGGCCAGGCAGGCAGCACCCACAGCAGCCCTGGCTTCACGGCCCCCACTAACAGGGTCTCCAAATGGGATTTTAAGTTTATTTGTCCTGGGACCAGTGCTGTGGTACAGCAGGTTCTGTCCTGGCCTGCAGCACCGGTTCAAGTCCCAGCTGCTCCACTTCCCTCCCATCTCCCTGCTAAAGACCTGGGAAAGCACTGGAAGGCATCACCGGACCTGTCCAGCTCCAGCCATTGTGGCCACGTGGGGAGTAAACCAGTGTGTGGGAGAGCTCTCTGTGTCTCCCTCTCTCTGTAGCTCTTTGAAATAAAAAAAATCTACAAAAAAGTTTATTTGCCCTGACTTAGGGGTGCTTTGCCTTCTTCCTGGAAATGCCAAAAATCCTAAAAACGGTGGGCGGGGCACCTGTCAGACACAGCAGCTTTGGCGAGGCTGGGCTGAGCCAGGTACGAGCACAGAGTTGGCCTGCAGCGTCCGAGCGGCGGTTGGACAGTGGTTCCTGCCTCTTGGCCGCCTCCCCCTCCCCGGAGGCCAGGCCAGGTATTCGTGCCTCAGTTTCCCCGTTCTGCCGGACATCCTGACGCCGCCCAGGGGAGGGCCCGCGGAGCCGCAGGGAGATTCCCGGCTCTGGCCCAGGAGCTGGCGTGGGCGGCCCAGGCGGGCTCCGCTCTCGGTCCCCGCCTGCTGGCCGGAGGGCAGAATGCCAGTGTGGGGCCGAGGCCGCGGTGGTCACGGGGGTGAAGTGTCGGGCCGCGGGCAGTCGGGAGCTGCCTTCTACAGGCATGCGCCTTTCTTTGTTCCTTCCCGTCCAAGTTTGCGTCCGCGTGGGGCACGGGGCCCGCGCCCCCCCACCCTCCGTCCTGCGCGGTGCGCGACCTGCGTGGGAACGCGGGCGGGGGTCGCCCCTGCGAGGGTCGTTCCGCCGCCCGCTCTACCTCCCACAGCTCCCGCCTGCGGCACAGGCCGCGGCGTCCGCCCGCGCGGGCTCCCCGCCTCCTCTCCTCCAGCCGCGGCAGCGCTAGGGTTTTCTCGGCAAACGGCTCACCCTTTGCATTTTTACGTTTTATTAAAAAATAAAAAAATCCCTGCCAAGGCGGAACCAGGCCCCCTCCCCGGCGGGACCGGAGCTCGCGTCGAAGGCTGCACCTGCTCCGCGCCCCGGCCGGGCGCGAGAGGCCGGCTGTGCCGGTGCCGCGCGGCGCTCGCCAGAATGCCCCTTGCATCTCAATTTCCCGGCCGACGCTCGGGCACGCACGCCGCTCGCGCGCCCGGGGCCGAGCCCAGACGCCCCTCCCCGCCGAGCCCGGCCCCGCACACCCCCGGTTCGCCCCGACCCGGGTCCTCGCGGCCGCGGGCTGCGCCCCCACCCGGGCTCGGGAGCGCTGCCCGGTGGCCTCGGCCGCGCTCCCTCCACTTCCTCCCGCGGCCGGGATTGCAGCAGAATCGGGCAGCGCGAGGGCCAGAAAGTGGGAAGGAGGGCGCCACCCCCCCACCGGGAGCGCGGCCGTCTCCTTCCCGCACGGCGCCCCCGTAACTTTCCCCTCCGCCTCAGTTTCCCCGGCTGCGGCGGGCACGGGGCGCGGGCACGGGGCGGGCGAGCGCGCGGCTGCGGCGCCGAGAGGGAGCCGCGAGCGGCGAGTGGGTGGGTGGGTGGGTGGGGAGGGAGGAGGAGAGGGCGGGCGGCGGAGGGTGTGGGCAGCGAGGGAGGGGGCGATCCCGCGCTCCTGCCGCTCCCAGCCGCGCGAGGGCGGGGAGGAGCGGGCCGAGGAAGACGCTCCGGCCGGCCGTGCGTCCCCGAGCCTCGGGCGCTCGCGCAGTTGTGCAGGCGCGCGCGAGCCCTCCGCGGCGGCGGCTGCGGCTCCGGCTGCGCCTTCCCGGTCCCCAGCTCCGGTGTGCGCGCCGGCGCGGAGCGTGTGCCTGGCAGGTGTGTCCGCCGTGACTCTGCCCAGGAGGTGGGACTTGGTGACTTTCGCACCATTTCGCCTCTTCCCTGCCCGGCCTCCCACCGTCCGCGGCGACCTGAGAAGTCTCGGCGCCGGGGAGCGCGCCCCGCTCGCCTGCAGCCGGGCCCGCGGCCGGGGCGCCGCGCCGCCACCATGCCCGGCAGCCCGCGCCCCTAGGCGCTGCCCGGCTCGGCCCGCGGCGGCCGCGATGGTCTCGGGCGCCGGAGGACCTAGCGGCTGAGCGCCCGGCGTCCCCGAGGCAGGGCCCCCTCCCCTCCCCCGCGTCTTTGTCTGGTCCCCCGCTCTCCCCGCTCCGCACCCCACCCCCTCTCCTCTCCGCCACCTCTGTTTTAGAAGCAGCCACCGGAGATGGATGTCTCGCTCTGCCCAGCCAAGTGCAGCTTCTGGCGGATGCTTCTGCTGGGCAGCGTCTGGCTGGACTACGTGGGCTCGGCGCTGGCCTGCCCGGCCAACTGCGCCTGCAGCCGGACCGAGATCAATTGCCGGCGGCCGGACGACGGGAGTCTCTTCCCGCTGCTGGAGGGGCAGGATTCGGGGAGCAGCAACGGGAACGCCAGCGCCAACATCACCGACATCTCCAGGAACATCACCTCCATGTAAGTCGGCCGCTCCCGAGCCCGCCCGGGCGCCGGCCCCGCGCCCGCGCCCGCCCCGGCCCTGCGCCCGCCCCGGCTCGCCGCTGCCGGCGCTGGCGCGCACCAGGCTCGCCCGGGCTCGGGAGATGCTGGGGCCGCGTCTCCAGGTGGCTCGGGCCCTGGCGAGGCGCGACCCGCGGGCTGCGTGCGCCTCTCCGGGGAGGGACCCCCAGGGCCCCGGGAGCAGGGCCCCGCGCGCGCCCCCACCGCGGACCCGGGCCGGCCGCGAATGGGGTTCGTTGCCCCCGCGGCGGAGCAACAGTTTGGCCGCGCTCAAGTGGCGTAAAGTGCCCGGGCTCAGCGCCCCAGCAGCGGCGGCGCACGGCTGCGGGGAGGTGGCGGGCGGGGGCGGCCGCGACCCGCCAAGGGCCCCTCCGTTGGCTTCTGGGGCCGGCGCGCTCGGCCGCGAGTAAACAAGTTGGGAGCCGGCTACTGGGGAGACCCAGGCCGCCGCGGACGGGACGCCCACCGCTTCCCTCTCGCGCCGCCCCCGCCCCGCCAGCCCTGGTTCGGGCATTTGCGAGGCACTCCGGGCTCCCCCCATGCCTCCCTGTCTGGGCTCAGGTCACTGCTCAGGGCAGTCGGAATCGAGTAGAGGGCGCGTGTTTTGGGGAAAGGGCTTCTCCCGGGGAGCTGGCAGATGGTTTATTCTGAGACGTGGACTCTGGCGGTTGCCAGGTTCTGCCCTGTCTGAGACCCAGGCCTGCTGCTTTATTCTGGGGGCCCACAGGGAGGCAGAGGGAGCCAGAGGGCCTGCGGGGGCTCCCTCCACCCCGATCTGTGACCCCTCCCCCACGCCCTGGCGGTGGTCGGAGTCCGCCTGTGCGGCAGGAGCTGCTGGGGTCCGAGAACGCCCGACTGTGGATCCTGCCCCAGCGCCAGCCCTCAGCGGTGTGGCTGCCGAGCCGGCCGGAACTGCAGTCCCGCCAGCCCTCCTGGCTCCGTGGAGACCCTGTTTGCCTCCTGCCGCGACATGTGAGGGAAATGCAGAGGCCAGGCGATGTCCATGGCCGATGGCCGGGCGGAGGAGCCTGACCCGTATCTCAGCTCTGGGAAGGGGAGAGGCAGGCGGTCAGCAAAGCAGGCCTGGTCCAGACGTGCCCCTTCCTCCCTGCAGGCCACAGTGGCCCTGGTCCCTGGGATGCGGGAGGAGGGTCCCGAGTGAGACTGTCAGGGACGCTCACACTGGGACGCGCCCTGTCTGGGGGCTGTGGGGAGTGGAGGGAGCTTGGCGGCCAGCCCTTGTGTGCGTTGGGGGCTGGACCCAGGCATTACCAGGGGACTGGGCGGCCGGGGGTTGGGAAGAGGTGTCCGTCCGGTGCCCGCCCGGGTGCGGTGAGCTGTGTCTGGCTCTTCTGCTGGGGGATGCATGCCTCGGAGGAAGCCTGCGGGAGGCAGGGGTGCATGATCACGTCGCTCCTCCTGGCCACACGGAGGTGTCGCTCCCCTGAAAATGACGTGCGAGGAGTGGGCGCAGGCTTTCTGGGCTGCTGGGAAGGCTGGGGATGGGGGGCCAGGAGATGCGCAGGGACTGGATTCAGGACCCACCACGGGTCCCCCTCTTGTTTCGGGACTTGTGCTTGGCAGGCTCAGGACTCCTTTCCCTCAATCCTTCCCAGCCCCAGAGAGCAAGGGAATGGCCCCCCGCAGGGGCCGTGCTATGGCTCAGAGGTCAGAGCGCTGATGACCCCTCCCGGGCCTGTTATTTCTGGGCTGGTGTTGGGTGGCCCGGCCTGCTCCGGATGGAGGGAGCCGGGACGGGGTCACCCTGGCTGTCACCCTGAGCAAAAACAGCTTTTCCAGGTACTCTGGGACTGGAAGGGGGACTTGAGGGCCGAGAGGAGCCCCCGTCTGCCCTGGGGAGCACGGATTCACCCTCTTCCTGCCCCCCATCATGGCTAGACTGTGCTCGAGGATCTGGAGGAGCTGAGCTTTCCTTGTGGTTCTGCTCTGCAGGGCATTCTGGGTGGGGGGAGCCTGGCCCAGGGCTGCCTCTGCCGGGCTCCCCGCCCCCTTGGCCCCATCGGCATCAGGAGGGAAGCAGCTGCCAGGCGTCAGGGCAGAGGTGTGGTCTCACCTGCCCCTCCCAGAGCCAGGCTGCCGACCTCTTTCTGTTCTGCTCTGGAAACTCAGTAGCCGCGCCCAGAAGGGTCCATGGCAGCCACACCCGAGCAGACTGTGACGTCACAAAGCGGGAGCCAGTGGCCAGGCGGTGGCTGCCCGTCCCGTCCAGGCCAGGCCAGGGGGCTCCGTGGAAGCCCCACAGGGGAGAGGGTGGCGTCCCTGGGCCACGTGTTCCTGAGGCTGGCTAACCCCCAGGGACTTTGGGCTCGGTCACAACCTGTGCCCTCCCAGGGTCCTGGGGTGCAATGACTTTGTGGGCCCTTTGTTTTCTTGCCCTCCTGACAGCTGCCGAGGGGTCTCTGGGGGCCCTGCTGCCTCCTTGGTGCTCAGCCTTGCTAAGCATTGAGGGGGAGAGCCAGTTTTGGGGTTTACCATTGAGACTCAGGACCTGGTATGGTATGAACTGGGCCCCAGTGGAGGCTGGAGGTGCTCAGAGTCCTGGGGTGGGGCTAGGCCCAAGGTGTGGAGACAGATGTGACAGAGACACTTCCAGGTGGCCACTGGACTCCAGAGGCCCTAGGGCTGTGTGCTGAGTCCTCCCTCAGTGCAGCAGGTCTGCAGGACCCAGGGTGTCAGTCCTGCTGACTGGGGGACCTGGTGCCATGGCAGTTTTGGGCGACACCAGCCCAGCTTGGTTTTAGGTTTGAGGCCCTGTCTGCTGGCCCCAGGAGGGCTGAGCTGGGCCCAGAGGCTCTCAGGGCTCTGCGGCTGAAGTGTAGGTACAAGGGCAGGGCCTGGTGCTGTCCGCCCCTCCGTGTGCCTTGCCAGGCTCTGCTGCCGGCACTCGTCTGTCTGACTCTGGCTGCTTGCTTGGGGTGTGGCTGGCTGGGGCCCTCCCTGGGGACGCTCCATGGAGTGGCTTTCTCAGGGGTCACAGCCTCGTGTCCAGACCCCTCGCCCCCGGCACCTGCAGTGGGAAAGCCCTCAGCCCCAGGGCAGTGCTGGAGACTGGCCTTTCTGGACCTGTGACTTCAGCTGTGAATCGAGGCCATGGGGCAGAGGCCTCTTCCAGCTGGGGCATGAGGCACCCTGGGCCCAAGGAGCGTCCGGAGAGGCCGGGCTGGGCACTTGTGGGCACTCCTTTCTGAGTGGTGATGGCTTGGGGCTGCTGCAGGAGGGCCTAGGGTGCCCCCATGAGCCATGGCTACCAGCCGCCCTCCGGTACCTTCCCTCCGGAAAAGACGCGGCCCCTGCACAGCGTGGAGTCCACTGCCCAGCTCAGGGCCAGCCTCGCTGAGAACATGGGGGGCTCTGGCTGGACTTCGAGGTTGCCTCGAGGTGTGCGTTCTGGCTGCTGCCACTCACCCTGGGCTGGGGCAGGAGGAGAGGGTGCTGCCAGCTCGGGGGAGCCTGGGAGCCTCTGTTTCAGGTTGTTCTTGCCTGGGAAAGGGGTGCCTCTTGTTTAATGCATGGATGGGCAGGTACATGGGCTTGGAGTGATAGCGCGGAGGGTGGGCAGGCCACAGGTGCTGCTGCTGCATGGACTCCATCCTTGGCGCTGTCCTAAAGGGGGTTGATTGGTGGGAGGTGAGCAGTTGTGGGTATGAGGCAGGGTCAGGCGGAGAGGGGGACCTGCCCTCTGTGGGCATCCAGCGACAGCAGGGCTCTGCAGGCGCCTCCTCCCTCACGCTACTGGGGGTGGGGGCAGCCCCTGCTGGGGTCCCAGGCGCTCCTAGGAGCCGAGGGCCTTCTGCCCGCCCTGGCTGCTGCTCTGAGTAGTTGTCAAAGGCGGAGCCAACCCTCCACCATGTCCCCCTCGGGGGCAGTTTCCAAATGCAGGGTCCCCAGAGGCAGGAAGTATGTGGGCTGGCAGCCCCGGGGCTCTGAGCAGCCTGCAGCCCTCGCCAGTGAGGCATGAGCTCAGGAGGCCCTGCCAGCTCCCTTTGCACCCGGGCCTGGGGAATTGGAGTCCGCCCTTCCTCCCAGGCCTCAGCCCCAGCCCTGGCCCCGGTCCCTGCCCCCTTGGCCGTCAGAGAGGCCCCTGGGTCTGAGTGCTGGGGAGCATGGATTTCTGGCCCAGATGTGGTCACTGGTGCACTGTGGCAGCCTGGCCTCCTGTGCCCAGGAGGGTGTCTCCAGTGAGTGAGAGCCCCTCCCTCCCCTGGGCCTTGGTTTCCTGTCTCAGCTGCCTCCGGGTAGCCAGTCAGGACCACGGTGTAGCCTAACAGAGACGCCGCCAGGCCCAGACATGGTTCCTGTACTGTGATGGCCATGGTCCCTCAGAGAAGTGCTCCGCAGAGTTGACTGCGTTCCACACCTGGCTCCTGCATGGGGAGCTGTGCTGCCTCCCTCCGAGGCTGGCACACGTGGGTGCACACACATGAACACGGGTACACACACATGTCCCTGAGCATGAGAACACTGCCAGGGCAGTAGATTCTCCAGGCCGAAGGTCTAGAAGATTCTTCACTTTGCAACCCTCCAGTTCCCTGTGTGGGAACTGCCCTGGCTGGGCTTGGAGGGATGTGAATGGGACGGTGATGGGCGTGGACTGGCCAAACAATTCCGGGCAGCACAGCCTGGATGGGCCTCTAGCAGTGGGGGTGTCTGGTCTCTCCTCCTGCCCTGTTCCCGACAGCTCACCGGAGGCCGTGTCTCAGCCAAGTCCTCTTCTCAGGCCTCCCTGAGCACTGCCCAGCGTCCTGGCCTCTGAGGTGGGTCAGCCCTGCAGCCCAGGTGCCAGTGGATGCTGGCGGCGGTTCAGGGAGCTGGCGGCTGGGTCCCAGCCAGCTCCTCTCTGGGTTGAGGCGTGGTCAGCAGGACAATGGTCTTGGCTGCCCATGGCTGGAGAGAGCCTGGATGCAGTGGGCTGGGCAGGTTCTCCCAGCTCAAGCTTTGGGTCCAGGGCTGCCTTTGGATGCAGAGCAAAGGGGGTGCTGCAGGGCTGGGCCCTCCCTCCCGTCCCATCTCTGCCCTCCTGGCCCTCGGAGGCTCCACCTGCTACTCTGGTGTCAGCTGTGTCCCGGGAGCTGCGGGCAAGTGTTGAATGCACTCCACCCTGGCCTCTCTAATCTTGGTCTCCTCATCTGGGAGTTGAGGCCATCTCTGACCAGCCCAGCTCCCTGGGGGCCACAGGCCAGTGTCTTGTCTGCAGGACTGGGAGGGCGTGAGTTGGGGAGAAGCCTGCATCGTTGGACCATGGAGCTGTGCATCTGGGGAGGGCCTTGGTGGTAACTACGGCCAAGGCCAGTTTACAGAGGAAGGGCTGGTGGCTCAGGAGGGAGCAGCAATGGGGCCCAGTCACCTGGGGAGCGCTGGCTAGGCCTGAGCCTGGGCCTGTGCCCTGCCCTCTGCCGGCGTCTTTTTCAGGCACAGCGTGGAAAGGAGCCCTGAGCTGCTGCGGAGAGGGGCCAGGGTGCCTTGTAGGCTCCCAGGACACGGGCTTGTGGTGCTAGGCCCTGTGTGCACTGCACGCCTGGGAGGGCTCTGTGCCATGGTGCTCTGTGTCTAGACGCCCACTGGCCACCAGAGGGCAGCACACACAGGAGTCCCCGCAGGTGGCCTCCCTGGGCTGACCAGGGTTGCACCCAGCTTGCTCTGCCTCCTGTGTCTGCTGCCGGCCCCTGGGTGGGAGACTCCTGGAGTCTCCTGGACTCCTGGACTAGGCTTCGCGGAGGTGACTGGGGCAGGGTTCACCTGGAGCGGCCTCCTTCTCACCTGCATGATTGGCCGTGAGAGGCTACAGCACCTTTGCTCACGGGCAGTGGGGATGGTGAATGACAGTTCCTCTCTGGGAAGATCTCAGGCCGGACAGGGCCCCAGGAGAGGGACACAGGGGGCCGGGTCAGGGCGAGGTGAGCTTTCTGCACCTCAGGCTGTCTGGTGGCTGCCCATGCCTGGGGTGTCTCTTCCTGTGCCCTAATCCGGGCTTGGGAACTACTGGACCTCCACGAGCTGCTCACACAGACCTGGCACTGACCGCGGGGGGGGGTCGGTGCCCTCTCATTACCTGCCTGGACCCTCTGTGTGCTCTCAGAGTTGACCCCGAGGGGTGGGCGTGCAGGTGCCTCGCAGACGAGGTGCCAGGCTTCCATGTCTGCTGCGGCCAGTCTTGCAGGTGTTGTCCTGGTTGCTGCACTGGTCCATCCACAAAGGGGCTTCCAGGATGGCCCTTGCCTCTGTGGGGGCTGCCCAGGGTGGCAGGTTGCCCCTCGGCTGTGCCCAGGCCCCCGCCACATTGCTGATGTCTTTTCTGGGCTGGAGATCAGGACGGTGCTGAAGTGTGAGCGTGCCCCAGGCCAGAGGTCGTCTGAGTCAAGGTCAGCAGCCGCAGGAAGCCTCAGGTCGCGGCGCCCACTGCGGCCTGGGCTGCTTTTTATTGATCCTCAGCTTTCTCATCTGAGAAATGGTGGTGATAAAAATAAGACAACAACAACAAAAGGCCATGGTGAGACTGCAGTGAGAGCCGTCCTTCCCCTCCCCTCCCCAGCCTCCTCCTCCCTGCTGCCCCAGCCCCTCCTGTTTCCGGTCCAGGCGGTGCGGTTGGAATGATTGGCAGGAAAGCTGGGGTCAGACAGCTTTGCGTCCTGCCTCTGCCCTGAGTGGCTTGGGGCAGGTGAAGTGTTCCACTGCACCTCAGTTTCCCTGTCTGAAAAGTCGGCCAGCAGTGCCCCTCTCTGCAGAGCGGTGGTGAGGACTGAGGCCATGGTGGTGCCTGGCAGGAGGCAGTGGGCGGAGCTGAGGGGGGCAACAGGAGATGGATGGGTGGATCACGTGTTTGGAAGGGGCTGTGGCACTGTCTTCAGGACAGGGAGGCAGGATGGGTTCCCCTAAGAGGAGACCCAGGTGTGGGCGCAGCCCAGGCAGGGCCCTTCTGTGGTCTCTGGGAACTCAGGAGCGCCTGGCCCGCTCGCCCCTTTACCACTGTTCTAGTCTTACGAGGCCTCCCAGCCAGTGGTGATGCCCTTGCTGCACTGAATGAGTCCCTCAGCCACCGGCGGGGCCCCAGGGCCAGCCCTGGTGGAAGCAATCTAGGAATCCAGTGGGAGGGGGTGGCCAAACCCCCCAGCCGGCAGGAGACTCCCAAGCACATTCATTCCATTTCCATGTTGCACCACAAGAGGGCACTAGACCACGATTGTGCGGGAGGGGGGCCCTTCTCCCCGGGATTGATGGTGGTCTGGGCCGCCAGGGTCTGTGAGGATCTGGGCAGCAGCCAAGTTTAACCACAGCCCAGGGCACTGAGACTCTGGGG